ATTACCTACCAACTACCAAGCCTCTCATTCCGCTTGGCAATGTTTTGAGGTGCAATCCGGCCGCTCATCGAGCAAGATTGAAAAGGAGCAGATAGCCCATGGAAGCATCTGGCTTTGAAATGTCTTAATGGATGAAAAGCCCAAGGCAAAGTAGTTGATCACACTATAATCAGATCTTACACGGTAAGTTACTCTCAATAAAACCCTTTGGCGCATTCATTTATAATATTTTTCGTTTTAATCATACATTTTATTTAATTTTTTTAACAAGTAAATGAAAACAATGAGTGAAAATAATGAATATCTATACACATAAAACATATGTAATAATCAAATTAAATACACAATGCTTATCCAGATGATTAAAAGATTGATTTTGAGGTGAACATAGAATTGAAATTTGTTCAAGAAAACTCTGAAGCCACAAGAAAAAAAGGTCGCGCACAAGTAATCATGGATTTTGTCAAGAAAGAAGCAGAGGTACGGAGGCTTTCAACTTCAGATGACTTAGGTCTGAATCCAGTATGGAATTGCTTGCCATAGTGGCACCCAAGGTTATGCACTGGCTTCTTATTTTTCCTTTTAAATTTAGCCATTCTACTGTTAGTTATAGCCTACTTTCTATAACGATGTTATCATGGAAAATATTTTTACAATGATTTAAACCCTCAAATTTAACACGTTTATACCACTTTTTATCCCATAAATTGAAATTCACTGCTTACATTTAAGATTAACTAATTGTATGATTTTGATAAGAGGCAACTCTGCATCAGGGCAGTACTTCTAACAATTAGAATAGCACAAGGTTTCATGTATCAGCCAAGTAGCAGGTTCTACACAGCAAACTGTCAAGAACTTACACTCTGCATCACTTAAGACTTTCTTAAGTTTGAAACTGTTATTATGCTATATTTTCTTTTCAGCAAACTTCAGGAAAGCTGCAGAACATGGCGTCTAAGGATCCGCAACCATCACTCACAATCATGTTCAAGAACAATATCTGTACCTTGAATATCCTCCTACAGTTCATTATTTGATCGTCCAAGCTTATTCGGTTCATGCTTTAAGCTCTCGTCCAATGAACTAGATCATAAGTACTGCAGGGTCTACAGTATCTACCTCTTTAGTGTTGCGCATAGGAAACTTGATCCTCCTGGAAATTTTTTCTGCTCAAATGAAAAGTGCATGATTGTTTCTGTTCAAAACATTTGAATATTCAAAGGATGAAGATGATGAACAGGGGAGAGAATAGTCGAGAGAGAAGAAAGAGAAGAGTACTATTTCCTCCAAAAAACGGCTTTAGCACAACGTTTCATTTAACAACCAATATATATATGTTGTTCAAAAGAGAGACAAAATGTAAAGGAAATTACAAACCAGATGAAGCCATCTAGCATTATAAAGACCAAGGGTGCTGGGATCAATGAAAATGGTGTTGGCATGATGACTCATGCAAATCTATACGACACAGTTTCATTAAGTAAAGTAGCTAAATTTTGACTTTTAACCAACATAAGATAAACAGTAAAAAAACAAGTAAGATTGAATCCGACAGAAGAATAAAACGGCAAGAGTAAAGCCTTAAGACGACTGTTGACTCAAGTCTCCTTGTTCCTTTTGAACTTCAGGCTTTCCTCGAAATCACCATTACCCCTTCCTTTGTAGTAGCTTCATTGCAGATAAAAAAACCATCAATATTCAACACACCTCCTTGGTGTTTGAACTGCAAATCCCCAATTCAGATCTCAAAAATATGAACTGATCCTTACTTAAGACTTTTAGTAAAGATATCTGCTAACTGCAGTATAGTGCCACAGTGCTGAATAACAACTTCTTCATCTTTCACAGCTTCTCGGATTGCATGAAACTTTACTTTGACGTGTTTTGTCTTGCCATACTGCATAGGGTTTTTAGCAATTGAAATAGCAGATTTCTTGTCAATGTATAGCAGTGTACTCTTCTCATAGATATGCCTTCGATCATGGAAGACTTTTCTCAGCCAAATCACATGATTTGTAGCAGCAGTAGTAGCAATATATTCTGCTTCTGCAGAAAATTGAGCCACCACCTAATACTTTTTTGAATTTCAGCTAAAAACTGCACTGCCAAGTGAAAAATAATAAACAATGGTGTTTTTACAGTCATCAAGACTTCCTGCCCAGTCACTATCACAATATCCCATAAGAATAGAGCTTTTCTTCTTCTCAAGCTTTAAGCCTAAATCTACAGTTCCTTTAATGTACCTCAATACTCTCTTAGCTGCTACAAAATGAGTTTGTGAGGGACTTTGCATAAATCGAGATAGGAAACTAGCAAAGAATATGATATCTGTTCTTGAAGCAGTTAAATAAAGTAG